CGAAGACCGCGGGCCGCTGCAGCTGGAGGGACAGACCCGCGGGGGTCGGCGCGCAGCGCAGCACCGGGGCCACACCTGGGCCCTGTAGGCAGGCAACAGCATGTACAACGCGATCGGGCACCTGCGGACGGACCGGAATGGGAGCGGACCGCTTTACTCCCCGAAACCCCTGGTCGACAGCCCCCGCCCGGCTCGTGCCTACCTGCCCCTCCCCGAAACGGGCCTGGAGTGCGCGCCGCGGCGCCAGGAAGTCTCGGGCACGCAGGTGGCGAGCGCGCGTCTCCTTGAACCACACGGGGTCGCCTGGCCCCAGGGCCGCGTTGAGGGCTCCGAGGGTCTCCCCCAACCCAAGGCGCCCGGTCGCCATGGCGACCGGAAGGAGTAAGCGGAGCAGGAAGCGAAATCTCGGGAGGTGGAACTTCCGGAAGGGCAGACTGAAGGGGGCGGAGATCCGGCCGCGGCCCGGAGCCGACAGGTGCGCGGGAGTGAGCGGGCTTGGCAGCCCTCGACCCACCGCCGCTAGCGCTCCCTCGGTGCTGTCCACCTGTTCGCTCGGCCCCGGGTCCGAAATCTCGGCGGCCCTAGGGTTCTTTCGCCGTTGCCCTGTACTAGCGACCAAGGGGAGGACCCTCGGGGCCCGGTGAGGGCTCGGCGCCTTCTCTTCTCATCCAAGTCTCACATCTTTGTGTTTGTGTGATAACGTCTCGTTGCCCCCATTTTACGCGTCAATCAGATGTCCAAATGATTTGTCACTGGCACAAGGCATTAACATGAACGCCACTCTCACGACGTACTTTTAAAATCCCACGTTGTGTTGTGCAGTTTCAGGTTACTTGCAAGCATTTCTGTCGTTTGAAATAATCTTTATTCCCGATAAATGCTCACTCAGAATTTTCTTGTAACATCCAATTAGAACCATCAACTTCATAGTTCCCCAAATTACTAGCTTTTAATATTTTTCGTTTAATTTAGTGTATTTTAACAGTGATCCTCCCGCTTCCTGTTTTAGGTTATGAGTCACTGTGGGCAAAGATCACAATGTGACCTAGAGAAGATTCCGCTAGAGACCTCAGTCGGAGCATCCAGCTCCTCTACTGTGAAAGCCGCCCCACGAGGGCCCCCACATGCTTTCGTTTCGATGTAACTTATTAATCCCCCTGCCCCCCACTAAATAGAGCCAGCCCGATTTTGCAGAGCTGGAGGAACCCCTGGTCTCTGCCCTGGAGTGGTGGTGCTGGTGTGTGTGCACGAGCGTTGGGGTGGGGGGTGGGGTGGATGGCAGACCTGGGGAGAGGGAAACCTAGGGGCAGGAAAAGCTCGCCAGGGCTCCTTCCTGTGGAGCCTGGCTGGGAGGCGCCGAAAGAGCACTGGGCGGACACGACATTCCCGATGGCTTCTTGGGTGCCCACTCAACGGGAGTGATCGTGTCATTCCAAAGCGCTTTCCATGCCGCAGGCGCAGGACCTGGAGACATGCTAGCCGATTTGGGGGCCAAGGCCGAGCTCAGAGACTTAAGCTACTCTCGGTCTGCGAAGACGGTTGGGGTGGTTTTTCCCCAGGAAGTGAAGGGCTATCTTTAGCAAACTGCGGGCTGGGGCGGCCCTGTGGGACTCACCGCCATTGCAGCCCTACCCGGAGGCCTTGGGTACACCCTCCCTCGCCAGTGATCCCTGAGGGTTCCAGAGATGGCCACCAGCCGTGGCTCTCCGACGTCTACATCCGCCACCTGCAGCCTGAGGGCGCACCTGCGAGAAGGACGGAGACCAGAGCGGCCCAATAAAGTACGTCTAGGGGTCAGGGGCCACCCCATCTGGGCCAGGGCGCTGCTCAGGCAGAAGAGCAGGGAACGAAATCCAAGCGCAGCTGGAATGCTCTGGAGACAACAGCTGCTTTTGGGATTCCGTTGCCCGCTGTCCAGCCGTTGGAGGGGAGGCTCCTGCCCCCGGGTCACTCGCCCTGGGGCCAGACCAGAACCCGCCCATCCCCAGTCCCAGGAGGCGGACCCGGGAGACGGCAGTGAAACCGAAGTCTAGTGGGAACGAGGCGCTCACCTGGGCCCCAGAACAAAAGAAGGGGAAGTGGGGGGCTCCCCTGGAACTGGGTCCCGATCCGGATTAGATCCGCGGGGCAGGATTAGCCCTGTCGATCCCACGCAGCCAAGGCCACTGGTGTGACGGTGGCGGGGCGGGCTTCAGAATCCGCCAAGAGGGAAGAGTACCAGTGGGGCCGGAGAGGAAGTAAACCCGCGCGTCCTCCTTGGGGACACCCCCGCGCTCGGGGCCCTTTGTCCGGTGACGCTGCCAGCGCCCGGGGCGCCACACACCGAACGGGCCCACACAACAGTGTCGGGAGCCCTGAAAACCCACTGCGTCCCGCTCTGGCAGACTCACCGCCAGGCACCGACGGCGCCGAGCCTCCCGCCCGCCCAGGCCTGCGGGTAGCGAACGCGACAATGTTCCCCTGAGGCCACGACAGAACCGGAGCGCGGAGGTGCCCAAACCCCGCGCGGACGCCAGCGACTCTGGCGCCAGTAGGCCCGCGCCTCGGCTCAAGACGGGGGGCGTGGGACTCTCGGGGCGCGAGCAGAGCAAGCGAGGAGAGGGTGATGCTCCAGGCGCTGCCTAGTTCGAGTCTGGTCCGGTTCGGCCCGGCAGGTCCCACCAGAAGAGGTACGACAATACCACCACCGCGTGCCCTTCCGCTTGCTCTGGCTGCCCGCAGCCTTGGAGCCATTTTAAGGCGAAACCACTTAGCCACGCCCCCTCGCGTTCCCAAGAAGCCAATCCATGCGCGGCCACGCCCTCGCAGAGCGCGGCGGCGCCGCCAACGGTCGCGCGGGTGACGGTTGGGGAGGGGCGTGATTGCCAGGAGAGCCCGGGAAACCTGAGCCGCCAGCCCCGCCCACCGAGCCCGAAGCCCCAAAGCCTGGGATTAGGGGTTTGGAGCTAACACCACGCCCAGGCCAGGGCGGCGAGCTGGGGGGCCAGCCTGCCTCTGCCGCCCAGGCAGCGCCCCGAGGGCGGCCACAGTACAGGTGTCCCACTCCCCGGGGACGGTCGGTGGGGATCCGGGGGCGGGACAGGCGGCAGGTGCTGACATCGGAGCCGCGCCGGGGGACGCGCCCTTCAGGGAAAGATGGCACTGGGCTGCGGGCCGAGCGGCACCGTGCCCTCCGAGACACAGGGGGCGCTGTTGCCGCGTCGGGACAGGCTCCGCGGCGGTCCCACCAGCCCTGCGACGGCCTCGCTACGCGGGAGTCAGCCATGGCTGCTGCTTTCGCACTGCGCACCCTGTGTCGAGCGCGACCCGCCCTGCGTTATCCGCCCGTCCAGCTGTCATGGTGAGCCTGGATCCCGCACCCGGACCATCTGCCCTGCAGGATCCGGAACCCCCGGTCTGGCACTGCCCGGGCACACGCCCCTGACCTTACCCCTCCGCAGGACCCCACGGCGTGGCCATCGGCTTTCGCCCGCAGACGACGAATTGTATCAGCGGACGCGCATCTCTCTGCTGCAGCGCGAGTCCCCTCACGCCATGTACATCGAGAGCTACAGCAGCCGCGGCTTCATGGTCAACGGAAACCGCGTGCTCGGGCCCTGCGCGTTGCTCCCGCACTCGGTGGTGCAGTGGAACGTGAGCCTACCCCTCGGTGGGAAACGCCGGAGTCGCAGCCGTCTCCCTGCTTGTGTCCCTGGCTAATCTGGCCTTTCCCTGTTGGCTCCAGGGGCAAAAGGTGCGTGGGTTTGCCTGTCGTATTGACCCGCCTTCTCTCCGGATAGGTGGGGTCCCACCTGGACATCACGGAAGAGAGCTTCTCCCTCTTCTGGATGCTGGAGCCCAGGATAGGTATGGGAGGAGGGCCGGCCTAGGTGCTGAGTGCCACAAGGTCCCCCCTGCTCCAGCCTCTCCAGACCCTGCTGTAGACTTGCACCCTCTCCCCCTAGAGATTGTTGTGGTGGGCACTGGAGACCGGACTGAGCGGCTGGAGTCTCAGGTACTGCAAGCCATGAGGCGCCGTGGCATCGCTGTGGAAGTGCAGGACACGGTAAGACCAGGGTTTGGGAGTGCTGGGAGCTCAGGCCCTGTTCCAGGCAGGCTGATGCTGGCTTCTTCTTTGCAGCCCAATGCCTGTGCCACGTTCAACTTCCTGTGTCACGAAGGCCGAGTGACAGGAGCTGCTCTCATCCCCCCACCTGGAGGGACTTCACTCACATCTGTAGGACAAACTGCAGAATAAACCACCAAGGACTGACCTGCTGACCTGGAAGGCCCTGGACATCGCAGAGTACAGGAGTTCCCAGCTTGCATTGTCTCTTGGGCACTCCCAACACTTGTCTTGCTCACTAGCATATTAATAATTTATACTTCTTCCACTTTGTTTCAGGTGTGTTTCTAGCCAGGGGCTGCTGGCTGAGGGCACTTGGTGTGCAGGTTGACCAATGCGCCCTTTTTCCACTGTACGTAGGGTCACTCAGCTCTTAGAGATCGGATGCAGATACCCGTTCTAGAACTACTTTGCTCAGGTGCATTCCAAGGATCTCAATGGCTTTCCTCACAGGGCCTTTTCGAGGTTCCAGTTGGGGAACGCGTATGCATGTCAACCTGGACCCCTAGCCCTGCTAGCAGGATGTCCCGTGGATGCCAGTCCCAGACTTATTATGTGAGCCCTCAGGGGGCCACCCCATCAGGTTCTCAGCATGAGACTGGACCCTCCACAGCCAGTGGGTCAGGGCTGCTTTGTGGGCAGCCTCAGAACTCAGGAGCTCTCGGAACCTGGAACTGCCCCTTCAGGTCATGGAGCTACCTCAGGGTGAGGTTCCCCTGGAATTGGGGTGCTGATTGTGTGCATCTGTGGTGCTGGCAGCAGCAGAGCCCCACCAGCTGGTTTATCTCAGAGAGGAGGCTTTTTTCTTTTTTCCAAACTTTTATTGAAAAAACTGAGAAGGGGGTGTGCTGGATCCCTTTTCAGAAAAGCCGCTTCTCATACCTGTAGGCAGAACGAACCCCGGTGAGGCGAGGGCAGGAAGGGGACATGCACAGTGCAGGGTCTACCCTACCCACACACAGGGTCACTTACGAATGGAGGCTGTGAACGCCGCCTTCCACCTGAGCCGAGGATGTTCTCTTCTCAAACTTAAGCTCCCCGGAGTACATCATGGCTCTGGAGAGGGGCAGATGTTGGGTGTGGGCAGTTGGCCCGGGGCCCACCCTCTACACATGTCCTTGCTCCCCAAGCTCACCTGACTTGTGTCAAGCTCTTGGCACCAATGTCTTGGCAGGAGTGCTGGATGCCAGCAATAAGGTAGGGGACAAATTTGTGGATGGACCCTTTGTCCTGCACAGCCCCAGACACCCCCTGGGCCACTTTGATTTTGTCAGCTTCACTGCAAGGAGGGACAGACACAGGCAGGGTCACGGCAGGGAAGAGATCGCCAGTACAGGTGTGTGAGGCACCTGGCCGCAGTCCCACCTGAAGTATCGGTTCTGGCTGCTGAGGTGCTTGTCCATGGCATCGAGAGAACCCATACCACGGTATTTCTTCAGCCGGATCCCGTCGGAGAAGAAGTACTCCCCGGGGGCCTCGGTGGTGGCAGCCAGGAGGGAGCCCATCATGACTGTGGACAGATGGGATGCTCGGGGCAGTCTGAGAGGCACTCAGGAATGGGCCTGCCAGGTCCAGGGCTGCCAGCCTCACCTGTAGAAGCCCCGAGGGCCAAGGCTTTGGCAATATGACCCACATTTTGGATCCCTCCGTCAGCGATGACAGGAACACCAAAGCGCCGCGCATACTCTGACACCTTGTACACGGCTGTGGCTTGTGGTCGCCCGCAGGCCAACACTGTGGAGAGATGCAGATGGTGGACAGATGAGTGGGCGTAGGGTTAACAGACACAGCCAAGGGCCGCTGTGGCCGCACTTAGCACCCAGGAGCTCTCGGCTACACCTGCACCAGAACCACGGCTTGGCTGAGGAAAGATGTGTCTGGGATGGTCGCTGCCCCGTCTGCCTCAACAGTCTCAACAGCAGTGCTGGCCTCCACTCGCCCCTGCGTGTGCGCGTGCATGTGTGCAGGGCCCAGGGCAGCCTCAGGCACATGCAGTCTTAGCAGCCGGGAAAGCCCCGCCCAGCTGGTATCAGGTAGGGCCGGGGTCACCGTGCAGTTAGTACCCAGGGGCACTGAGTCAGGCCCAGCCTTCTCTGTGGTGTACAGCTCAGGCAAGATGAGGGCAGTGGTCAGGGTTAGGGACAGCAGGCTCCAGAGATGGACGAGCCATGCTTACTGTAGAAGATGTGGGCAGAGCGGGGCCTGCCTGGGGAAGGAGGTCCGGCCCTATGAGTGCCCCAGGAAGAAGAGGGAGCTGTGTTCTAGAGCAGCCCCCAAACCATGGTCTGTACTTGAGTTGCCCTGCCCACCCATCAGCACCACAAACCCCGGGAGCTACAGCTACAGTCAACCAAGCAGCCGGGCAGTGGGCAGCTGGGCCGGGCCAGTGGGCCGGGCTGGACTTACTATAGCAGCCCGTGACAGTAGAAGGGCATTTGGGGCTGTGGGACTTTATGTCTGGAGGGATCTTGGGAGCCACTAAATAAAACAAACAGACCAGAGTTTAGAGAGGGCGCAGAGCAGGAGCAAGGAGGCCAGGCGAGGCAGGGGAGTGGCAGATGAGGGATGACAAGAACTTGTCTTGCTTCCAGCCATGTCACCCATCCAAGAGGCCTGTTTGGCCCCAGAGCTGCCCCTATGAGAGGACTATGTAGTTCCCCTAAGAGCACTTGGCACAAGGGCATGTGGGGCTAGACGCCAGGGTCTCTGTGGGCCCTGTGAGAGCCCATTCTTACCTTCCTGGGTGATGCAGATGGAGCCACTTCCCATGCCCACCCTCAGCGCATCCACGCCTGCATCGATGAGGTTCTTGGCCTGAGCAGCAGTGACCACTACAGTAAAGAGGGAGAGACACAAGTGAAGGTCCCATTGGGAGCCTAGCTCCCCAAATCCCGCACTACATGCTTCGGCGCCCTGTCTTGCCTTACCATTGCCCCCGATGACTTGGAGACTGGGGTATTTCTCTTTGATGTACTTGATCATATTGATCTGGAAGATAGAGTTTCCCTGGGAAGAGTCCTGGGACAGGAAGAGACCCGGTCAGACCAGGACATGGGAGCTGCCCCGAGTATCCCCCGTCTGTGCGTCCGCTCACCAACACCACAGCATCCACACCGGCCTGGGCCAGCAAGTCCAGCCTGTACTTGTCGTCCTCGTGAGTGCCAATGGCGGCCCCACACAGGAGCTGCTTCTTGGCATCTTTGGAGGCCAGTGGGTAGTCTCGATTCTTCTTCAGGTCTGTCCGGGCAATGATGGCCACCAGCTCATCATCTTCATTAACAATGGGCAACTTTCCTGAGGTGGGGCAGGACAGGAGTCAGGATCCAAAGCATTGGTTCCAGGCCCCTTCCCACCCCTAGGACTCACCCTTCTTGCTGCGCTGCAGGATTTCATTTGCTTCCTTCAGTGTGATGCCTGCAGGGGCCACCACCAAGTCCTCCCTCTTGGTCATGATCTGGGACACAGTAGCGTGGTGAGGATTGGAAGACCACGTTCATGCAGCTGCACCCAAACCACGCTTCCCCAGAGGAACCTGCCAGCCCCTGCAGCAGTACACTGACAGCCGAGTAGAAAGGATAGCATGGTACAGGACACAGCCTGCCACGAGATCCCCCGAGAGCAGCAACAAGAACACAGCCAGAATGCTAGCAATTCAGGGGGGAAGGAAGTGCAGGGACCCCAGGACGAAGTCAAAATGTGGCTGGACGTTCATCTTTCCCAGACAGAAGAGACCCCTGGGGATTGCCTGTGGGCAATGGAAGCCTGGTATCTTCACTATGAGCTGCCAGGGCCGGGCTATGCTCTGCTAATGGAGCCCACCTCTTCCAAAGGACGGTCATGCTCCTCCTCCTTGAGAAAATCAATGTCCCTCGACGAGATGATGCCCACCAAGCGGCTCCCCATCCGGCCTGTGTCTGTGATGGGGATACCACAGAAGCCATGCCGGGCCTTGGCCTCAAAAACATCCCGCACGCGATCCTTGGGGCTGAGGACCACAGGGTCTGTGATGAATCCCTGCTCATATTTCTGGAAGGGATGGTGAGAAAGGGCGTTGCATCTCTGAACCGCCTTCAAGTTCCTGGTCTGAAGCATGCGGGTGTGTGCCCAACTTCCCGTGTGGCAGTGCCACAGGGCCAAGTTACACCAACAACTCTAACAAGAGACATGGGCTAGAGGCACTCTACAGTCTTAACATGATCTTGGGATCTATCTCCTTAGTAACTGAACCCCTCAGTGGGAAGAAAGGACCCTAAGTGAGAAGAAACACCTCTCACTCCCACCCCTCTCCACCTAAGTGCAATTCTCAGCAGCTCTTGGAGACAATCCTTGCCCTTCTGACCTTCACTTTGCGGACTTCATTGGCCTGGAATTCGGGTGTGCAGTTGTGGTGGATGAAGCCGATACCGCCTGTGAGCTACAGGACAAACAGAAAGAATGAGAGGCACGGCTGTATACTTTTGGGGAAGGGAGGTGACAGCCCTGCTTCTGATATCCCACGGTGCTCACCGCCATTGCTATGGCCATTCCAGCCTCTGTGACTGTGTCCATGGGCGAGGAAACTAGGGGTGTCTTCAAAGTGATCTTCTTGGTCAGGGCAGAGGTCAGGTCCTAAGGAGATAAACGTCCGCTGGTGTACGGAAGCACCTCTTATACTTCAGGGTGGTACCAGGCGCTCTTCAAACAGCTGCTATCTAGGATATGCATGCCAGCCAGCAAAACCATCCCATGGAATCCAGCCCCAAGCCCAATCTGGTAAGGTAGCCCTAAGACCAGGTAGCAGTACCTCGGCCCACTTTGTTGTTCAGGACCCAATTACTGATTATACTCACCACCTGGTCTGCAGTGAAGTCGATGTACCCAGGAAGGATGAGAAAGTCGCTGCGGGGAGAGGGGAGTGAATTGGGAGTTTGGCTTTCAGGTTTTATGGCTGCATGAGACTTCATCCCTACAGACACTTAAGATATCAGAGTAGATTGGCACTGGCTGAGCCCATGTGTCACAGGCAAGGCAGGGCAAAAGGTGGACACAACAGGGAAACGTTCCTGCCACTGAGCTGTCATCAGTTCTCCTGCACCTCGACAATTCCATGTGTCCAGAGAACGGAGACTCCAGCCAGAAATCCTACCCCTACTGCCCAGGTGCTTCCTCCCACCCCAACACCCACTCCGGAGGTGTAGAAGTGTGCCGCGGAGACGGGAGCGTAATTCCCATAACCTGTCCCCCCGCCCGAGCCCCAAAAGGCTCAATCGATGCCTCCTTCCGGTTCCCTGGCCCAGAGAGCCGTCCCTCTCCTAGCCCAGGTGAGTCCCGCACGCCCGCACTTGTAGGTGAGGCCGTCCCCGCAGTTGAAGAGCTGCTGTGCTGTGAGTCCGTCGTCCGGCACGTAGGACGTGCCGCCGCTAATCAGGTAGTCCGCCATGGCCAGCGCGGGGAGCCGCCGCGTGTCTCCGAGGACCGCGCCGCAGAGGCCGCTACTGCCTGAGCCGCGCCAATATAAACCAGGCGATTTCGTCACTGCGCTGCGCGCGTCGCTGACGTCAGGCCGCAATGCGCACGGGCGCTGCAGGGGCGTGGCAGGAGGGGAGACAGGCGCGTGCGCACAACACACAGCGGCAGTCAATAGGTACGCCGGGCTGTTTCCCGACCCGCCCGCCTCCCGCAGGACCTCGCCTGGCTTTGGTCCCACGGTCCCGCCAGGCTCCTCCCCCAAATAAAGAGGCATTGTTCACTAGCATGTTGAAAAGACGTGCTTGTCATTCTTAATAAACAACTAGAGTAAGAATACATAAGAGAAACAAGAGTGGTATCTTTATATGATACACGAGTGTATGTTACAAGAATTCCATCAGGCACAGGAGCCCCAGGTTTAAGGCCTCAATGTTAGGCCAACAAAAAAAAAAAAAGGCTTGGTAAAGTTTTTATTTTTAACACCTAAAATGTCACTTCTCATAAAGGGGGGGGGTGTAATAGAAATTGTCTTTAATAAATCATAATTGAAGTTCCCCTCATTTTTCTTCCATTAAGATGCTAAGTTTATTTCTGAGCAAGAAGAAAGAACAGAACGTGCCTCCCCTGTGGTCAGTGAAGTCTGCCAGTCCGCGGTGGAAGCCAGCTGGAAGATTCCCTGGAGGGTTCATCCATCATTAATTCCATCTTTCTCGAGGAAAGGAAGTGGCCACATTTCTCCTAACAGTCCATTCCCTTTCCCCAGGCCAGGCCCCAGACCCGAGGACAAAAAAAAAAAAAAAAAATGAAAGAAAGAAAAGGAAAAAAAAAAAGTCACCCAGCAACTTTCTAGGGCTTCTGGCTCTCAGGAAACCCCAAGCCCCAGGGCTGAGGATGAGCCATAGCAGGCTTATGGAGATGCAGAGGGGGAAAGGTTTTCTTTAACATTTTAAACAGAAGCAGCCTGAAAGGCTTCTTAACTACACGAATAAAAAAAGAAAAAATGGAGGCCTCTTCTTTAGTGTGAAAGTCTGTCCGATTTCTCCCGGCGGTTTTTCTTGCACCATGGCTGAGGATTCTCAGTGCATAGTGCTGGCACTGGCCACGGCAATGGCCTCCTGAATTTCTCGTATCACCAGGATCCGGGTCAGCATTTGTCCCATCTGCTCTCTGCTGATAGGCTGGACTGAGTACCAGATTGGACTGTTGGGGGCCACCACCGGCTCAGGTGTCAGGTAAAAGGTGTCATTCCGGCCTTTCACACTCTGGGGGCTGAAGAAGATGTTGGTAAAAGCTGGGCAACACCATCACCACCTCCACCCCCAGCTTTGCACCTCCTGGGCGGTTATTGCCTGCTCAAGTGGGTACAGCAGCAACCACATACCACTTTTGGGACCTCTTTGTGTCTCCTCAATTCTGCTGCTCCTCCGTAAGTGCCAGCTGTGACCCCACACTGCCTGCACCTCCCCGGGCTCCCCTGAGCTCATCTACTGGAGTAGCCCACTTGGAGCCAACTTCACTGCTCAGGTGAGCTATCGCCAAGTCTTTGCTCATTCTGTTTTCTCTACCCACTAATAATGGCCCAATTGAAGACAGTGGACCAGCACATGAAGCTGGCCTCCCAGCCCACCACCGCACCCACTGTGCTGTACCTCTATGAAGTACTTGGCAACTCCACCCACTAACGGTTACTCATCCGTGCACTAGCACCAGGTACGGATGTTAAGATTATGGATTAGGAAGGGAGACAGCAACTGAAGTTACACTTACACACACACACACACACACACACACACACACAGAAACAAATAATGGTACAGAGAAAACAGCCAGAGGGATCAGACTGGGTGTCTGGAAATGTTTCCCTGATAAAACGTGTTACAGCTGAGAAGAGAAATAGCAGTCAGAAGAGGGGATGTAGAGAGACCCAGGAGATCTATGGGCATGAGATGTGCAAGGGGGAGTGCAAGAAAGGCTCTGGAATCTTCTCTAATGAGAAGCCACTGAAGGTTTGAATCTGAGTAACATGCTAAGCCCTACAGCTGCTCTAAATCATTCTGGCACAGCCGTGAAGATGACATGCCAAACTGCAAGGTCAAGAGGGAAAATTCAAGAGGCTTTTCCCTGGATAAGTTGTAGCACTGACGAAAGGAGGTGGCCAAGAAGGGGCAGGTCTGTGCTGAAGATGTACTGAAGGTGACCTCTCTACGCCTCACACCCTCTCCATGAAAGGTGACCACAAGGGATCTATTTTATATTGCAGTTCGAGGCACAGCACACAGTTTGGGAAAGCTGGCCAAGCTGCTGTAAATTTAGCTTTTGGGAAGTATTTTTACCCTCACTTGAGATTAGAAAATGTCTCTCCTATGATAAGGTATGCACAAAGGTGAGCATGCCCACACACACACACCCACACACGGTTAGCCAGTCACATAGAAGCCTCCTCACCATTTGAAGAGGTAGAAATCGTAGAGCTTGATGGGACACCTCAGTGGATTCTCTGGATTTTCTGTCTGTTCTGCATACATGTCATCTGTAACTATAAAACACACCCCACCACCCTCAGACCTGGCATCAGACGGCCTTAGCTCAGGCTCAAATCAGTAATCTTAGGCTTTCAGCCACAGCTAGGAATACTGCAGAGGAGGAGGACAAAAGGCATGGGGGTGCTTCTAAAGGGAAGAGGCAGGTGTTTTCTCTGGGGCTTCTCTATTTCTAAGAGCAAAGTTCATGTTTCTGGATGGGGACTAAGGAGTTGAGAATTCCTATCCAGCAACCTTCTATCTTAATAATACTCGTTAGCCCTGCAGGCACCATGGCAAGGTAGCAGAGCAGCGATCTATTTCTAAGAGCAAAGTTCATGTTTCTGGATGGGGACTAAGGAGGTGAGAATTCTCTCTGGGGCTTCTCTATTTCTAAGAGCAAAGTTCATGTTTCTGGATGGGGACTAAGGAGTTGAGAATTCCTATCCAGCAACCTTCTATCTTAATAATACTCATCGTTAGCCCTGCAGGCACCACGGCAAGGTAGCAGAGCAGCGATCTATTTCTATTATTTCTATTGTCTTGCCTCCATCCCTTACCTTTCTGGCCAGTCTGGTGTATCCCAAGAGCCTTCAGGTACCGAATACTTGTACTTTTATCCTTGGGATTAGAGGGGTTCTTCTTTGTCTGTCTCAAGACCTTGGAGAAGGCCAGCTTCATGTGCTGGTCCACTGTCTTCAATAGGAAGTACCTGGACCGCAAGTGAAAGCAAGGCAGAGGGAAGGGTCCGGGAGGATACCAAGACTTACCATCTGCCCATCAGTGCTTCAGAGGAGCCACTGCCCACACTCCCAGGATCTGGGTAGGCCCATACCCCAGCAGTGTCCAGTGGTGGAGCCACATCAAGATGGACGGTAAGGATCTGGCAATGCTGTTTGCCTCACTGTTCACCACATAAAATGCAGCCAAGTGGGGCTGGTGGCTTTCAGTAGCCCAAAGGTTCTCAAATACGTGTTACAGGAATTCGGAAGTCCTTCTGGATAGTTTCTACCCTCTTCACTGGGCAGACACCAGCAGTGGCTAACGTGGAGCCTCTAGAACACTTACTTGGTGTTAAAGAACATGAGGGTTGTCAGCAAAGTGGAGGGGGAGTGAGCCCCGAGCTGCTTGCACTCCCACAGCATCTCCTCGGTCACGTGGCTGGGCAGGACATAGCCTAGGAGGAACAGAGGACTGCTGCAAGAGGGTGGTGTGTGGCCCCTCAAAGGAACAGGGTCACACACAAATGTAAGTTTTAATTGTAGACATCTTCGCAGAGAATGGCAAAATCATCTGAAATGCTTTTAAAGCACACAAGCTGGAACCAGCACATGGTGTAACGGCTACGTCGCTGAACTTCCATGTAGATAAAGTGGTGTTCGAGTCCCGGACCCAGAGGCTTAAACTCACGCCAGGCACGTGTGTGTGCGTGCTCAAGATCCCAAGAGGAAAATGGAGAAGGGATTGGGACGTAGCCATCCCCCCAGGGTGGTGGTGGTGGTGGTGGTGGTGGTGATTTCTCACTCACTGTCTCTCTGTCATCCCAGCGAGCACAAGCACCCTATAGCAAAAATCTCTCTAAAAAAAAAAAAAGCACATGGGGGCCAACAAGTGGTGTGGTGGTTAAGGCGCTGGACACTCCCCATGGATAACCGCAGTTTGAGTCCTGGACCTGATGGCGTGCTTTCTCACTTTCCCTGTCTCTCTGTGTCTCTATTTGGTCAAATTAAAATGAATGAATGAATAAATGAAATGAAATAATTTTTTTAAAAAAGCACACAAGCCTGGGTCTTCTCCCCAATCTCAGGAGTGAGACCTGATAATATGCCTTTATTTTATTTTTTTTATTATTCTTTTTAGAGAGTTTTACTATACGGCGTGTGCGCTCACTAGAGAGACAGAGAGACAGAAAGTGAAAAATCACCTCCCCAGGGTGGATAGCACCACCACAATCCCTTCTCCTCCATTCTCCTCTTGGGACCTTGGGCACACATGCACGTATATATGCACACATACCCGGTATGAATCTTAAAGCTACCAGGTCCCAGGACTCGAACTACAGTCAACTACCTGAGAGTCCAGCATCGTAACCATTATACCATCAGCTGGTTCCAGATAATGAGCCTTTCTAAAAAATTCCAAAGTGCCATTGTTACTATTCTGAGGAGCCACATTTTGAGAACCACTGTCTTACAAGATTGCTGTTTAGGGACCAACAGGTGGTGTGGTGGTTAAGGTGCTGGACACTCCCACATGGCCAACCACGGTTCAAGTCCTGGACCTGGCGGCTTATTTTATTCCTCTCTCTCTCTCTCTCTCTCTCTCTGGTCAACGTAAAATAAATGAATGAATAAATAAAATTAAATAAATAATTTAAAAAAAAAAAAGATTGCTGTTTACTGACAAATTGTTCCTTTAATTTATACCTGGCTTGAAAATTTGTAATCCAGCAGTTAGCGTAATGGCTATGTCGCTGGACTCCCACGTAGTCAACTGCAGTTCACGTCCAGGACCCAGTGGCTTAAAACTCACGCCGGGCGTGTGTGCGTGCGTGCCCAAGATCCCGAGAGGAGAATGGAGGAGAAGGGATTGTGGCATGACCATCCTCCCTGGGGGGTGATTTCTTACTTTCTGTCTCTATGTCTCTGTCTGTCTGGCGAGCGCACGTGCCCTATAGCAAAAACTTCTCCAAAAAAAAAAAAAAAAAAAGAAAATTTGTAAATCATGTAATTTACTATTGTCTGTTTTCTTGTTTTTGGAAAGGTCTTGCCATGTTGCTATCCTCCTGCACTCAGCATCCCAAGTCACTGGCATTACAGGTATACACTACCATGTGACCTTTACATTAAATCAGGAGTCAAACCCAGGCCTCCAATGTGGTCCCCGCCTAAGGAGTGCAGCATGCGTCACACAGGTGAGTCTCGTGTGTCTATTCCACTCACAGCTTACTAGAGAAGCCTCCTTCCTCATGCCTTTAACACTTTCCATTTTCTTGTACTTTGTTCTTCAACATACTTAATTTGCTTATTTAAATACTCTCTCCTGGGGTCAGCAGTTTGAGCCCTGGACCTGATGGCTTGAAAAACACACCAAATACATGTACATGTGTGCCCAAAACCCCAGAGAAGGGAAAAGTGGAAAAGAAGGAATTGCAATGTAACTGTACCCTTACAGGGTGCTTTCTCTCTGGCAAGCACATGCACATTCTGGCAAAGTGTATAAAAAACAAAAAGTATCTTCTGCAGAGCATAAGCTTTTTTTTTAGTATTTTGCCGGAGGTTGTGTGAAGCTCATGAAAAAGGAGAAAAGCAAGGTACCACCCCACAGGACACAGTCAAATCACTCCTTTTGGGATTTTTGGGCACTTACATACATGTGCTCAAAAGTTCCTGGATCCAAGACTTGAACCATGCAGTTGGCCACCTGGGATTCATCCACCTTAAACACTATGCCACCAGTTGGCCCAAGCTTTTATTTTTAAGAGACTTATGCTAGAGGATGCAAGAGCTTGGACAGATAGACAGAGAGACAAAGTGAGAAATCATCCACAGTCCCTTCTCCTTCATTCTCCTCTTGGGATTTTGGGCACACACACACATACCTGCTGTGAGTTTCAAGCCACCAGTTCCAGGACTTAAACCACAGTTGACTATGTCGGAGTCCAGAGACATAACCATTAAGACAATCATTAAGCCATCTGCTGGTGTGTGACCCAAGTTTTTAATTTTAATAAAGTTCTACTCATCTGGAGCCAGCAGATTGTGTAGTGGTTATGTCACTAGATTCCCACATGGCTGACCATGGTTTGATTCCCAAACCTGGTGGCTTAAGGATCACGCCAGTGCATGTATGAGTGTGCCTAAGATCCCTGGAGAATGGGAAGAAGGAATTACATTGAGGCTGTTTTCCTGGGGAATGATTTCGCACTTTCCCTGATTTCACTGTCTCGGACTCTGTCCTCAGCAAAAGCACACGCCCTATGGCGAAAACCTCTTTAAAAAAAACAAAAGTTTGGGGCTGGCAGGTGGCATGGTAATTAAGGGCACTGGACTACCACATGATTGACTGCAGTTCAAGTCTTGGCGGTTTGCTTTCTCACTTTCCTTCTCTCTTTCTTTCACTCTGTCCCTCTCTGGTCAAATTAAAAAATAAATAAACAAATAAAGATACATTTTTTTAATCAAAAAAAAAATTTTTTTAGAGGTTTTTGTTATAGGGCGCATGTGCGCGCCAGAGAGACAGAGAGACAGAAAGTGAGAAATCACCTCCCAGGGTCGATGGCCACACCGCAATCCATTCTGTTCCATTCTCCTCTTGGGATCTTGGGCACGCACGCATGCACGCACACGCACGCAGCGTGAGTTTAAGCCACCGGGTCCAGGACTCGAACTGCGGTCAACTACGTTAGTCCAGCGACATAGCCATTACGCCAACTGCTGGTCTCAATTCTTAAAAACATACTATATATATATAAAAAAAAGTTGAGGGACTGGCAAGTGGTGTGATGATTAAAGGCAGTGAACTCCCCACACGGCCAACTGTGGTTATAGCCCTGGACCTGGTGGCTTACTTTCTCACTTTCCCTCCCTCTCTTTCTCTGATCAAAGTGGAAAATACTACTACTAAAAAAAATAATAATATTGAGGGGCCAGCAGGTGGGGTGGTGGTTTAGGATGGTGGACTCCCACATGGCCAACTGTGGTTCGAGTCCTAGACCTGGCAGCTTGCGTTCTCACTTTTTCTCTCTCTTGCTCTCACTCTGCCCACTCTGGTCAAATTGAAAAATAAATAAATAAAGTTAAATAAAATAATTCTTTAAAAAAATAATATTGAATGAAATTCAATTTTAAAAAATTGTTTTTAAAATTAAAAGTTCAACTTATCTTCTTTCACAAAGTGTGCTTTTGGTGTATCTAAGAAGTACCACCGAACCCAAGGTCATGTGTTACTTTCAAAGAATTTTATAGTTTCACATTTTATGTTTAGGTACTATGATCTGTTTTCAGTTCATTTCTGTGAAAGATGCAAGGTCTGTGTTTACTTTTTTTCTTTTTTTTTAATTTGGGTATCTAGTTGTTCTTTTCTAGGCCAGACTGTGGAAGCACAGTGGTTAAATGTTGTGCTGTAGTAGCTGGATCCCACATGTCTGACCATGGTTTGAATCCCAGCCCTCTGATTTGAAAAACATACCAAGCATGTGTGCACAAGTGGTCAAAGGATGGAGAAATGGACGAAAGAAGATTGCAGTGTGACCATACCCCACAGGGAAGTGCTCCCTCCCTCCCTCACTCTCATGGGCTCATTCACCCTCTGGCAACTGAATTAAAAAAGGAAAAGAAAAAAAAAAAAAGAGTATCATTTCTCCACCGAATTACCTTTCTACTCTGAAAGATACTGTATTTGTGTGGCTATTTCTGGGTCCTCTACCCTGTCTTAGTGATCTGTCTATTCTTTTGCCACAAACTTCAACAGAAATATTCCTATCAGCTTTATTCATAATTGCCAAACTTGAAAGCAATGGAGATTAGATGGCTTTTAACAGGTGAATGGATAAACAAACTATGGTACATCTATACAACAGAGTATTACTCAGTGTTAAGAAGAAATGAGCTATCAAGCCATGAAAAGACATACAGGAGCCTTAAATGTATATTGCTGAGTGAAAGAAGCCAATCTGAAAAGGCTACATAGCAAATTATTCCAACTAGATGGCATTCTGGAAAAGGCCAAACTATGGAGACAGTAAACAGATGAGTGCTGGCTGAAGATCGGGGAGTAGGGGAGGACAGGGTCAGCAGGTGACATCCTGTATCGCACCACAACCCATCATCACGTGCCGACCGAAACCCGCTCAATGTACACTAACGAGTCAACTCTAATGTGAACTATAAACTAGTTTATAAAAATGTCTCAATACTGGTTCCTCGATTTTATAATAAAAGTATCACATTAAGGCAACATGTTAAAGAGGGGGGAAACTGGGAGGGTACATATGCAAGGGAGTATAAAGTAAATTCTCTGTTGTTTGTTTTTTTTTCCCCCCTCTGTTCTTGCCACTCAATTTTTGGAAACCTAAAATGCTCTAAAATATAAAGTCAATTAAAAACAAAAACCAAGCAGACTCAACAAAGATATTCTACTGAAAAGCCCATGTTCTTTCTAAGATAACATACTGCCCAGGAGGTTGCCTACAAGTAAAGCAAAATTTACATTCTCCAGATAAAACTATTCAAAATCTTATGTTATGACGCCAATCAATAAATTTTTAAAAATCTCAAAAAAAAAAAAAAAAAAAGGGGAAACAGGAGTTAACGGC